AATGATGTTGGTTACATAAAAGTATTTAGGAATGGATCATGAAAGATAACAAAAGGGAATAAAGTTGTAACACATGGCGGGAAGATTGGGACTTTATATACAATTGCTATAATAAGGGATACAACTATAGTGGTTAATTTTGATAGTGATGGTAATTCGATACGATGGCACCAAAGGTTTGGACATATGAGTGAAAAGGTTTTGAAATAGTTAGTATTAATAGAAAAATTACCGGAATTGAAACATGTTGATATTGGCTTATGTGCGACCTACATCTATGGAAAGCATCGGAGAGTCTATTTCCTAACGTTTGACGAGATCCTTAAAGAAAGAGAAGCTAGAATTGGTGCATACCAATGTGTGAGAACTAGCCTTTATGACTTATCGTAGATGCTCATGCTATTATGTCACTTTTATTAATGACTCCACCAAAAAGGTATGGGTTTATTTTTTAAAAAATAAATCTAATGTGTTTGTTGTATTCAAAAGGTGGAAGGCTGAAGTTAAAAATCGGAATGGTCCGAAGATCAAAGTCATAAAGTCAAACAATAGAGGAGAGTATGCTAGCATATAATTCAAAGATTACTATTCAAATAATTGGATCGGAATGATCAAGATAGTTCTTATGACTCTAGAGAAAAATGTTGTTACTCGCAAAGATGAACATAACTTTGAATGAGCAAACAAGAAGCATGATATTGCATTACGGGTTGCCCAAAGCATTCCGAGTCGAAGCAGTGAATACAATAGATGACCTCATAAATAAGGGACCCTCGGTTCCATTGGGCTTCAAATTACCTAAGTATGGTCTAAAAACAAGGTAACCTTTTCGTACTTAAGAACCTATGTTGTGTTTCATATGTACATGTAGGATTTAATGATAGAGATAAGTTTGATCCTAAGGTTAGATATTGTTACTTTAGTGGTTATGGTTCTAATGGTTTTGGTTATCATTTTTGGGATAATAGGAATAGGAAGATCAATAAGCATAAGGATGTGACTTTTAATGAAATTATATTATATAAGGACAAGCTTGGGACGATTCTAATAATACAAAGAACCAATGAGAAATAAGTGAGAAAACTTATTTGAAGGAGATTTTAGAGGATGATATGTCGAGAATTTAGAATTTAGATGATAGAGATTGATATTTATAGTCAAAAAATACGGTCTTTAACCACTAAAATCATGTCACATCATCTAATTTGGACGGTTAAATTTGAATTAAAAAAATTAAGTTTTTTTGTTTTTTGCTAAATTACTTCAATTTGTTAGCAAATTTAAATAAAATAACAATTTGGTTTTCTTTTAACGAGACCCTTCTCCAAGTCTCGTCAAGCAAATCTCTCTAATGCAACCAAATTGACAAAGAAAATACTCGTATCCATCTTAACGAGTCCAAGACTTTGTGTTGAACAATGATCATCCTCGGTATAGTCCATTTATAATATAGTTTGGACTTTACTAAAAAAAAATAATAATAACAAACAAATGAAAACAAAATAACATGAATTAGTACATAATAAAATTAACTAAGTTAATTAATTTTAGAAGGAAAAAAAAAAAACTCAACATATACACTATTCCATAAGCAATAAAAAGTTATCGATTAGAATCAGATTTTAGTTTGTCATAAAAAAATGTTGTTTTAGTGGAGTGTGCATAAAAAAGATAGTGAGTAAGGTTGAAAATTTTTGGATTTTAACAGCCAAAAAGCAATTATGAAGCACGGATGCTTCAAAATCCAAAACCAGGAAGTAATAAAATAAATAATTAAGCATGCCCCAAGAGCCACACTGTTTATCTACACTTCAAATTGATATAAGCATTAATGCCACTAGAAAGAAGCGATTTTAGGAACTCAATCTTTCATTAGTCTGTCTGAAGTACTACGCATATAGAATAAATCATAACTTTAAGGAAATTTAGATGAGTAAGAATATCATAATCAGATAAGGATGTGAAACGTGTGGCTAGCTAGCTTAGCAACCAGTACCAAAAGCAGGGGATCAGGAAACAGAAACAGGTAGGAAATTTTCAAAACATGATAGACTCAATTAGTCTCAAAGAGATACCCAATTCTCAGACAAGCATCCATACTTTACGTGGGTTGTCAAATCTAGTTAACAGACTTTAAACCTTTTTTTTTAAAAAAAAATTATTTACGCACAAAGACTTTTGAGATTGGAATCTCTGTCCTTAACAATATTAAGCATGGTTTAACAACTAGCTTCCTGGCCAAACATGAAATGTGAATAGTAGCCAAAATAACTCCATTGTCAACAGATCAATATTGAAGCATTTAAGGACACATTGGAATATCAGAATTCAGACCAGATTTACTGATGCATGGTATGTGGTATGTGGTAATAATAGTATGAGAACATTTGGTATCACTTTAATTAATTTTTTTTATTAAAGAAAATCATAAATTACATTATAATTATTCGGTTGAAATTTTAACTTTATTACATATTACTGTCCATTATGGATGGATGTGTGGCGAAAAGGTTTTGTTAAAGCCTTAACCCAAAAAAGGAAAAAAAAGGCCTAGATAGCCAGAACTGACTGGACTATAAGCCCAGAGAGAGAGAGAGAGAGAGAGAGAGGAGAACTCCACCCAACACAAGAGAGCGTGGCCGATCTTAGAAAAAGTAGGACATGAAGCCCAGTTCGATCTAAAGCAGAATCCTATTCCAGATTGCAGGGTTTTTTCTTATGCTATTGTGGATCCATCAAAAACTCAAGACTTTGGAGCCCAATAAAAACTAATCAAATTCAAAACCATGGTTGTCAAACCTGTCCTGCTTAACAAATTGACCTTGAAAATTACGAGCATTGGATGCGCTAGATTTTTTAATGGCAAATTTTATCTTCGTTCATTTGTTATTTAATAATTTTAAATTCATAGTATTAAATTACATAGTTTAAATTTTAAAATATTAGAGATTTGATAAATATGATTTAAATTGTCTAATTTTAATTACGTATAACGATATTTGAAATGTCAAAACTATACTTGTTTTAATAGTTTGTTGTAATTCTTTTTAAAAAAAACATTTTAAAGATATTTTTAACCCTCTAATCTTAAACTTTTTTTATTTTTTTATTGTAAAATATTATAAACATTATATATATATAAATAAACATTTTATAAATATGTTTAACCCCCTAATTTTGAACTTTTTATTTTTTATAATTTATAAACTTAGAGGGTGAAACCTTAATTATGTTCATTTTAATTTATAATATGATTTTTAATGCCTGAAATTGTGTATTGTTAATTATGTTTTTTTTTTTTATCATAACATTTTATTAAAAAAAATAAAAAGTTCCAATTTAGGGGATTAAAAATATTTTTTTAAACGAAAAAATTAATAACGGAATGTCAAAACAACATAGTTTTGACATTTCAAATAATAGTCAATCCAGTTGACTAACACACAATATAGATTGGACAATTTAGATCATATTTGTCCAATTTTCAATACTATGGGATTTAAATTACTCAATTTGATACTATAGTTTTGAAAAGTTCAAATCGCAACAAAATAAGGATAAAATTTTCCATTAAAACTTTTTATAATATTTTTATAAAAAATATTTTCTTATAATTTATAAAATTAGGGGGTGAACCCTTAATTATGTTCATTTTAATTTATACTATGATTTTTTAATGCTTGAAATTGTGTATCGTTAATTATATTTTTTTACAATAACATTTTATTAAACAAATTTAAAAAATTCAAATTTAGGGGGTTAAAAATATTTATAAATTTTTTTATATAATTTATAAAATGTTTATAATTTTTTATAAGAAAAAATTTTTTAAAAAATATTTCAAGATTAGGAGGATAAAAAATATTTTTTAAATATTTTTCTTAAAGAAAAAACTAAATTGACAACGAGAATGTGAAAACAACGTAGTTTTGACATTTTAAATGATGGTCAAGTCAATTGACTTATACATAATGGAGATTGAATAATTTGGATCATATTTGTTCAATTTTCAATACTTTAAAATTTAAATTACACAATATGATACTATAGTCTCAAAATTATCAAATTGCAATAAAATGAGAATAAAAATTACAATCAAATCGATTTTTGATTATTGATACCCAATTAACCTACTCGATAACCCAACCCATCTTATTGAGGAATTTTTTAAAAAAAAATTAATTGTTTCTTTTTTTTCTTTTTTTTTACTAAATTAAAAAAATGTAACATGTGGGCTAATGTAGTCACTTGCAAAGTTTTTTTCTTTTAAAAAAAACAAATTACTCACCCAAAATTCTTAACAAAATTAATTTATTAAGATTTAAAACTATAATCTCTTATTGAAAAAAACCATTATAACTGGCCATTAAATTCTTTAGTCACTTGCAAAGTTGCGACTTGCAAGAGAACTGAATAAATTTATTATATTTGGTTAAGTGTGAACTCTACATTCAACCCAGATTATTTTTATATATAAAATAAGAAGAAAAACACTATAATTAAGACCGAATCTCAACAACCCTGGAGAATTTCGTAGGAAGCTCTAGATTGATTTTTTTTTTTTTTTTTTAATAGCAAAGCTCTAGCATATCAAGCAAAGACTTTTAGATTTTTTTTTTTTTTAAATCATTAAGGAGGTTATGGGGTTTTTTGACCTTTACATTAAATTCTTCATCATTCACATCTTGAATAAATTATCTGTCTACGAACTACTTAATAAGAAATTTTATTTCCTTTTTGGACTAGAAGAAGAAAAAACATAGGATGAAAACACAAACTCACATGCTAGCAGTATATTTTGATCATCTTACTTGAAATGTTGCTTTAAATTGCCTTTCAACTTAAAAAAAATAAATTAAATTAATGTTTTTGTTTTTGTTTTTAATATTTTTTGATGGAGTAGTTTCCACACATTCTTAACTTCTAAGTGATTTTTGATAATTTTAACACCAAAAAAGCACTAAAAAAAATCAAAAAACATTTTGAAAAAAGCGCATTACCCAATGCCAACGCTTTAAGGTTTCTTGAGCGATTGATAAAGAAAAGTCACTGTCGCCGGCTCCGTTGCTCAGCAAGTCACCATGAGCACTAATCATCCAAAACATAACTTCAAAGCAACACCAGCCAGAAAGTACAAGAGACAAGCGGTCCCGATTATCAAACTGAAAACCTCTACCCTTCGCCACGCGCCTATAAAACCCCTGCAGACGCTACACTTATGTGCCACCTTAGTTTCATTTCTCCACTCTCTCAAACTCACACTCTCATAGTGTAAGAGAAAACCCTGCAATTTATTTCTCCAAAAAGAAGACCACATGGGCTGTTGTTTTCTGGGTTCTATGTTGTCACTGTTAGTTCTAATATCGAATCTGGGTTTTACGTTAACAAATGGATCATCATCTTTTTCCTTTTTATCATCATCTTCAGCAGCAGCAAGGAAGTATGTATCAGCAATAGGCGACCCAGGAATGAAGAGTCCAAATGCGAGAGTGGCATTGGAAGCGTGGAATTTCTGCAATGAAGTTGGTTTTGAAGCTCCTAAAATGGGCAGCCCTAGGTTGGCTGATTGTGCTGATTTGTACTGTCCACCCATCTCTGGTATGTATTTCATTACTTTTTAATTATTACATAAAGGTTGACACTTGAATGATGCCATCTTAATGTTTTTCTTGGTATTAAATGGTCGTGCCAATCATTTATTGTTTAATCATCAAATAAAGTTGAATTCTTACTTGATCATAAGACCAGTTGTTAAATTATCCTGTAATTATCAATTCCTGCTATTATTTTCAGGTGGGTTGGTGAGAGTTATATGTGTGCTTGTATGTTGTTTGGTGTCGTAATCATTGGAAGATGTAAGCATTTCTATGAACATTTGAATGGAAATTGGCAGGCGTTTCTGTTTGTGTTTTTGTGGTGTTTTTGCACGAATTTTCTGGGGTTGCTCGTGGTAATGTTCATTGAAACGATAGTTATTATTAACTCGAGCAAATTGGTTCCATCTTTGTTGGCTTTAACAAGAATCTGTTGAGCTTTCTTCCTTATTCTTGATTTCACCCATGTCCCTGCTTTGATCATCTTTTCAGATGGCATTAATCTTGTCAAGTTTCCTTCTTTTTTCCCCTTTTTTCTGTGCTTTTATAGCTTTTCATATGGGAGTATTGCTGAACTAACTTCCTCGTCTATTTTCCATGCTGTATTTATTCAATCTATGCCACATGGACATTCTTCGTCTCTGGGCTTTAAGGGGCTGCAATGTCTGTCTGTGAATACATACTTTAGTTCCGTAGTGTAACAGGCCTAATTCATAACCAATTTTTTCTCTAATGATGGTCTATCAATGTATTTAGTAGTTGCCAATTCTAGTGCCTTTTCACCTGGCTCTATGTCCATATAGATTTGCACAAATTGACTTTATTTTTTTGGTTACAGTTTGTCCAAATGAAGACTTCTCAATTAAATTCCCAATTTCATATTTTGCTAGCCTCAATCATTTTTGAAGGGCACTTTTTCCTTATTTTGTATGCATAACTTGCTTTGTTGTGCTTCTGAGAATGATGTTCAGCTCAGTTGGCTCCACATTATGTGAACATAACATGCAAATTAACCAAATTATGCTCCTTGATGTATGGATACTTGAATCACATGAATGCCTGTGTTGGGTGTAAAATAGCAACCGTTACTCAAATTCCTTGCTTTTTCAACTGTCTTTTGTAGCTTTATGTCTCAACTTTCAGATTCTTTGGGTGCCAAACTTTTGGATAATAGGAGCAGGTGTGAAGTACATCATAAAGTGAAGAACTCTGACAACAGCTTAGGCGCTGGTGATAAGTTTCCTATATCAGATTTTGAATCCTATGAAGATCCTGACTTATTTGCTGTGCAAAAGGAGCTTTATCTTGCTACACTATGTGCAGTGAAAGAACCCCCAAAGCCATGGCAGTTTTGGATGATTATGCTCAAGAATGGAAACTTTGATAAAAACACTACTCTGTGTCCTGAAAATGGCAAGAAAGTCAAAAAAATAATAACAGGCAGAAACTTTCCATGTTTCGGTAAAGGATGTATGAATCAACCACTTGTGTACCATAACTACTCGCAGTTAGTTATTTCTGGGGAAAAAATGGTGTCTTTGACTGGAGGCTATTTTGGGACGTATGAACTTGATGCTGACCTGAGCAAAGGTGTAGGAAACATTTCTTTCTTTTCAGTCTTTTGGCAGAAGAATTTAAGCACAGGGAGTTGGATTTTCTCAAACAAACTGACAACATCTGCTAAGTATCCCTGGCTTATGTTGTATCTACGTTCAGATGCTACTGAGGGATTTAATGGTGGCTATCACTATAATGGAAGTGGTATCATGAGAAAGGTTTGTTCCCTTGACATCCATCTGAATTGGTAGTGGTGAAATTCACCTAAAATCACAAATATGTCAAGGACATGCTGATTTATTACCCTCTAGCATCATAGGAGCTTTTTGCCTTATTGTATCGCAAATATGTCTCTTTACCCATAGTTTTTGTGTTTTAGTATCTTTCTGGACAGTTTGAACTTTGAAGCGAAAACTGAAAGCTTAATGTATTTCTATCCCTTTCTTTTCTCAGTTACCAGAATCTCCAAACTTTAAAGTAAAGCTGACACTTAATGTTACACGGGGAGGAGGGGGCAATAGTCAATTTTATCTCCTTGATATAGGAAGCTGTTGGAAGAACAATGGAGATCCATGTGATGGTGATGTTCTTACAGATGTGACTCGATACAGTGAAATGATAATTAACCCAGCAACATCAAGCTGGTGCCGCCCAGATAACCAAGTTTCCTGCCCACCTTTTCATGTTAGTCTGACTGGTGAAAAAATATATAGGAATGAGACATCTCGATTTCCATATTCTGCTTACCATCTGTACTGCAGCCCAGGAAATGCCAAGTATCTGGAGAAGCCATATGATATCTGTGACCCATATAGCAATCCTCAAGCTCAAGAATTGGTGCAAATTCTTCCACATCATGAATGGGCCGTGCATGGCTATCCTGAGAAGCAAGGAGATGGATGGATTGGGGACCCTAGGACTTGGGAGCTAGATGTTGGGACCCTCTCTAGTCGTCTATACTTCTACCAGGTATGTTTCAGATCTCACCCAATATAATGCACTGAATTTGTTGCGGAAAAGTGTTTGTATAGGAAATGGGGGTTTGCTGGTAAATTTTCTTGGCTGGTATTTTGTATTTTTCATTAGTTGGTTATGTACTTTCAGTGCTCAAGACATAAAATTTGTCCTCCTGGGAAATTCGTTGTGATGTTTTTGGGGCCATTGAATTTTTATCTATTGTTATCAGTCACTTTCAACCTTTTATATTTGGTGATTCTTCTGTAAGTTGAATGGACAAAACGGCGTGTGCATTTTGGCAGCTATGGTTGACAGCATGACTAATCTTATATCTTTTGAAAGATTGTTGATGTTAGTTCTAGTCTAAGTCCCTGTTCATATTGAAGATATAATCCCTAATAGCTTGCAATATTCACGAGCAGAAGTATTGACCAGTGGTTGCTATTGTTGAAGGGCTTTTTATTTTTTCATATGGACTTGGAAAAGGTAATCCAAGGCTTCATTTTTTTCTGCAGGATCCAGGAACAAAACCAGCACGGCGGGTATGGTCTTCAATTAATGTTGGAACTGAAATATATGTTAGCCGGACAGGGGAAACTGCTGAGTGGAGTGTAAGTGATTTTGATGTGCTAGTTCCCGAAGATGTTACGACTTATGCATAATGGTCATAGCTCACACTGATTTCTTGCCAGTGTGCTCACTTCTTCTGGAGAGAAAGAAGTGAACAGATTATTGGTTATTTGGTGTATATCTGCTTTTATATTACCTATTGGAAATATTTCAGAATATTATGCAATCTCTTCTCCTAGTTTTGTTCCCCTTTTAATCACCAAAAAATAAAGATAACCCTTTGTCTTTGATCGAAGGATGAGAACCAGGATCTGAGAAATTTTGTGCCAGCAGAGCTGTGTTGCTATCAACTGTATCTTTCTGAGATTACTAATATGTAGGCATGTGCATACAATCTTCCCCTAATACGCGCATTTTGTGAAGGATATTATAATTCTTCGTAGATTATGTTTCTTCTCATCGTCTCTTTTATTACTGGGCCAGAGATCGTTGATGGGGGCCTAGAATGTTTTTTATTATACAAGTGAAAACCACGAGTCAGATAGCATTCATCGTGTCCCAGAATGTTTTTTTTTTTCCCCCAACCAGTTGGCCTGAAATTGGTACTGCCTACTCAAATGGATTGGACTATGTCTGCTTCAAGTTATAAAAAATAGACTACAAATTATGCATATTCAACTGTCACATGTAGTTTTATTCCCAATGTCTGTAGATTTTACTGAGGAGCATAACAATAATTGTCATGTAAAACGGTCAAACCGCTGAAGGAAGGAATAAAAATATACAAATGTGTAATGATCGAGCAGTTTAGGATCCAATTCTAGTTTGCGACAGAACTAAGAAGTGGTCTCAAGAAAGGGATAATCAGTATAACCAATGACAGGATCAGTTGTATAGAATGTGTCTCGGTTGTACTTGTTTAGTGGAGCATCAAGCTCAAATCTCCTCGGCAAATCTGGATTAGCCAAGAACACGCGACCATAAGCAACAAGATCTGAATAGTTCTCCGCCACAGCTTTGTTTCCTTCATCCCTGTCATAGCCTCCAGCGACAATGAAAGTGCCATTGAAAGCCTTTCTCATGGGTAGAAGACTGTGGGGGCATTCAATTCTTTCTCCCACTGTCTTCATTCTTGGTTCAACCATATGGCAGTAGAGAATCCCATATTTATTCAAGGATTCAGCCATGTACAGCCCCAAAGCTTCTGGATTTGAGTCCCCTGCTTGTCCGTAATTTGCATAGGGAGAGAGTCTTATTCCAACTTTATCAGCTCCTATCTCATTGACCACAGCTTCAACCACTTCCAAAGCAAATCGGCAGCGGTTCTCTAGAGATCCACCATATTGGTCGGTTCGATCGTTCACTTGATCCTTCATGAACTGGTCAAGCAGGTAGCCATGAGCCCCGTGGATCTCAACTCCATCAAAACCTAAAAAGCCAAATAGTGGTATCATGCATGCCAAATAATTCAGATAACCACTTTGAATACAAATGTTTAAGATCCTGAAACTTGAATGAGAAAGAGAGATTGAGTTGACCAGTATTGAGTTTGTATGACCAGGATATGGATAATTCATCAATTCCAGATATCTAAGAAGCAAGCAAGTAGTGATATTCGAATGACAAAGCTTGGCTAGAGAAAGGGTGATAGTTTACATCTGTTACTTTCCCCAAACAAATAATACTGGTAAACATTCATTCTTAAATGGTTCTCAAACACAACGAGATGTGTTATTTTGAAGCAACAATCGTTATTTGCATGTGAATACGAACTGCCTTATCCTTTTATTTTCATCTTCCTGTTTTCTTCTCTTTTTCATAAAACTAAAATGTTCTAACAGAATTCTCTATTGAAAAGCCTAGAGAATTAGGTATTGTTATATGATTTATCTCGTTGAAAGTCAGATAAATTTTGCGCTTTGCCTTTTACTTGAGAAAATAAAGCATACCAGCTTCCATTGCGTTCCTTGCAGCAATTCTAAAATCATTGACAACATGAGGAATTTCATCTGTTCTTAGTCGCCTCGGAGGGTCAAACTCTGCAACATCAACTCCATTAGCTCGAAGTTGAGGGGCCAGTGGCTTGTCTGTACATGAGATTGGAGCTTGCCCATTTGGCTGGAAATCTGTGCAGGCAATAATAGAGGCAAAATAAAGATCACGCCAAATAGAAGCTTTCATGAAAAGATAATTCAATCACATGAATCTGACAAGAATAGTTAAACAAAACTAGAAATAATGAGAATCTGAAACAAAGAGAATATCCTTCATAGATAATTTGAACAGAATTTCCTTCATAAAAACGCCAGGAAGCATCTTCAAACAAGAGAAGACTAATGACAACCCTTTTCTCAATATGCAAAGACCCATCCAAAAAAATATGCAGTAATGAGTTTCTAGCATTAAGAAGTGGTAAATTTTCAATTAAATAACATCTTCCAACATGCAATGCAAGACACAAAGCAATTGAAACTAATCAAAGATGGTCCTTGAGAAGGTTGGAAGGTCCAATTAAGGTGACAAAGGCCTTAACTATGATGCACCAAACAATATGGTGAAAAAAGAAAATCTGCTCAACACATTTACCGTCGTTTTTAGCTACAGGGAATTCACATGATATCATCTCATTATTGGTATTAAGAAACACAGACCAAACACAAAATATACCCAACCATATCTCATCCATTTAGTTCTATGTTTTCTTCAATGGATAAACCAAAACATAGTTCGTGGTAGGTCATTTTATCAGTTTACAAACAAGAACATGACATGAAGAAATTGTACCAAAAGAAGAATAAAAAAGCTAAGTGACCAGTAATGTCTGGACAAGTCATTGATACGTGGTCCAATTCACAAGATTAGTACTACAAATATGGGCATGCCATCATATTCCCATACATATGCTTGATGCTTTAGACCAACGCACTCCACAAAGTGATAATTGCTGCTTTTAGTGAATACAACAGCAATAGAACTGATGTTTGACTCTGCATTCTGATTTAACTCTCTTCAAGCAAAGCAATTTTTGTCAACTCTTCTAAAAAAAAATTGGGACGCATCACTATTACAAGAGGACCAGGCACACTAAGTGAGGGTAAAGCTGCACTTATGGTAGAAGCTTTCTCATAATATCAAAGTTCACCCGAAAGTAACAAAACAAGCACAGTAACTATAACTCTGCTATTTCAGCAGCATCCATAACAGTAGTTAACAAGAATAACATCCATGGTTTCATTTACCCTTTATGCACACAAGTTGTCTATCTAGATAGGAAATGTTAACAGCCTTGTCCATTTCAACATTCATGGGCTGGATCATGGTATCCACTACTTTGAACCAAACTCATGGGCATATGATTTCTGCCCTTCATTCGGGCCAGAGCTGGGATTTATTTAGAAGCATCCAATCAATCATCAAAAGTTTCGAAAAGGGAAAATAAATTCTCTGCTCAAGAGCCACATATTTTGGATTCAAATTCTTATCAACTCAATGCAAGCTCAGGTTCTTGATAGAAGATAATGCATATAGGAAATTGAATTCAACTCACATCGATTCGAAACCCTTCCAACATGCCAAATTTGACAAAAGAATATGCCACCTTTGGCATGAACAGCATCTACAATGGGTTTCCATGCCTCAACTTGCTCTTGGGTCCAAATACCAGGAGTATTTGGATACCTGTACTTTAACAAGAAATCATAATAACTTCAATGCAAAAGATCATTGAAATTTACTAATCATAAAAAAATAGCTAGATGGATGGACTACTGACAATCAAAAAATTACCCTTGAGCTGTATCGGAGACTCCAGTAGCTTCAGCTATGAGAAGACCTCCTTCGGTGGTTCTCTGAGAGTAATAAAAGATTGCATGCGGCTGAGGAACATTGTTAAATGATCTCTGTCTAGTTAATGGTGCCAGTACTATTCTGCAAATGCAAATCATAGAGTAATTTTATCAAGCTTCATATTGAAAGCAGATCAAAAGATGCTTAATTTTCATTTCTCAAGAACACATTTCAAATAAAGAAAATGAGCAACAAAATTGAAAACGGACATTTAGCGAATCCGACGATTTATTTTTCAAAAGAAGAGTGTTCGAGATGGACAAGAAAAAAGCCAACTGGGGTTTTCTACAAACACCTGTTCCTTCTAAATAGTTTGCCTATTCAAACTACCAAGAAAGGAACAGAAAAAAATGGCGAACTTTTTCCCCATAAAAATTCAAAAGGCCAACAATAAGAACCAAACATCGAAACCCACCAACAAACATGGAAACGTCATATGATATCATGTCAACAAAGAGCAGAAGAAGGCAAAAAAAAAAAAAAAAATGAAAACTTCGTTCTTAGGTGGATTAGGAAAATGGAAAGTTTCTTGTTTGGTGAATAAAAAAATGGAATCCTTAAAAGCATAGAAGTGTGTGTCTGTGTGTGGTACCTATGAGAAAGATTGAAGTTTCCCATCTTGTATGGAGTGAGTAGAGGAATAATGGGATGTTGAGCGGCCATAATAGTGGTATGGTTGCTTCTGCTCTCTTCTTCTCGTTGTTTTTGGTGTGCTCGATTTCATACACGTACGTGAATAAATAATTTCCAGAGTAAATTACAGATTAATCATTTTATTGTTTTAAAATAAATAAATTTTTTTTTTTTGAAAAATTAATTCTTTAATTCTTTAACAGTATTAATCACGTTTAATTCAACATACATAAAACTTTTCTATCAGACTTAAATTCAACCTTTTGATGCAACTCCAATTTAAATCAATATAAAAACTCAGAATTGCAAAAATAACTTATAGAAAACTAAGATTGCTATTTGAAATCAATTGTAAAAGCAATGATTTGTGTGAAAATGCAATGAAGGAAAACAATGGAAACAGCATGCATACAATTGATGGAGGAAAAGAAGAAATACAAGGGAAGGAAGAAGTTGAAGAACTCGAGAAAAAATGGAAAGAGATAAGAGAAAAAGAATTTCTACTCTTTACTGCTAAACTTTTATCGCTATTTACTCTCTTTTATTGTTTAACAAACTCAACTAACATCCAACTAATTACTAATTAACTACTAACAAATTCACATCCCAATTCTTTTGCCAGCTCAAATGCTATTTGTCCAATTCACTTAACTAGCTCACTATCATACTGCCAGCTAATATAATTGTCCGCTCTTTACCAAAAGGTTGCATCAATACCCCATGTCAAGAAACTTTGTCCTCAAGGTTAAATTGAGGAAAACATTGCTCCAAATCAAATGCAAATTCTCAAGTTGCTTAGCAATTGTACCGTTGGACCACTAAATAAGCAACTTAGTTGCCCCTTTTGATCATTTTTTTGTCCAAAATAGCTACTAGAAATGGTGGCACAATCTAGGACATAGGCAAGCGACTTGAACGAGAAGAAGACCTTTGACAATTTTGAGTCGCGAGACATGAAAAGTAGGATGAATTAAGGAGTGAGGAGGCAAGCTGCGAGTATAAGCAACATCTTTAATTCGATCAATAACCGTAAAAGGCCAAAAAACACCTCGAAGAAGGCTTTTGATTCTTTCTAAAAACCACCGACTACTGCTTGTAAGGCTGCAATTTTAATAAAACAAAATCTCTAATGCGAACACCCTATCTATATGTTTTTTTATCAATCTACACTTCCATTCGTTGTTATGCTTTGGTCAATTGATGTTTAAACACCGTAATGACATTCTTCTTGTCTTGTAAAAGCTAATTAAAATCTAGTTCCTTACGGTCATTATACAAATAAGGTAGGTGAGCTGAAAGGAGGATAATCGTAGAAAACTTCGAAAGGAGTTTGTTGAATAGAAGTATGGAAGGAATTGTTATACCAAAACTCAACTAGGCATAACCATTATGCCAAGCATTAGGAATATCAAACGTAATGCATCTCAAATAGGTTTGTAAGCACTCGTTAACTACTTCGATTGCCCATCGGTTTGAGGATGATAAGCAATAGATAAATGTAGTGGAACTACTTGATAAACAAACAACTCCCTCTAGAATTTGCTCAAGAACATAAATCTCTATCAAACACAATTATTTTTGGTAACCATGTAATTTATACACATGATCCATAAACAATGTAGCTACTAATTTGGCGGAATAAGGATGGAAGAGAGCCACAAAATAGGCATATTTAGTGAGTCTATTTATGATTATAAAGATAATTGACTTACCTTGAAAACTTGGTAACCCTTCAATAAAGTCCATGGTTATGTCAATGAAGATGGCGTGAGGTAGAGCTAGTGGATTCAATAACTTTGGAGCTACTATGTTTTCGTGCTTATATTCTTAACAAACCTTACAATTTCACACATACTCACCTAAATCCTTTAATAATCCCTTCCAATAGAATAAGCCGCTAACTTTTTGTGGTACTCTTAACCTTAAAGTGTCCACTAGCTGCTGAATCTTGAAATAATGAAATTAGTTTATTATGTAATCCACCCATATTGCCAACCACCAACCTAGCCTTCCTTCGCAATTGATGGTCTTGCCACACATATTTTGGAAGCATTCCTCCAGGACATTGTAATCGTAATAGTACAATTAATAAAATCAGGTTTGAACTTCAAGAATCTTGAATCTTTATTATGAAGTTACTAAAAATAGAGGAAATAAGAATGGTTGCTAATTGCATTTGTGAAAGAGCATTTATATCCATATTTTTCTTATCTTTTTTATACACAATTTCATAATCATACGCCATCAATTTTACTAACCAAGTAGATTGACTAGGAGTATGGATTTGTCGCTCAAGCAAGTCTTTTAAACTTTGATGATCCGTTCTAATAATGAACTGTCAATTTCTCGGATATTGACGCCACTTCTTGATAGCAAATAGAATGGTCGGTAACTCCTTTTCATAAATGGTTAGTGCTTGATGCATAGGGTTTAGCAACTTACTAATGTAAGCAATCGGATGACCTTTTTGCATCAAAACTACCCTAATTCCACCTCTAGAAGCATTAGTTTCAATTATAAAATTTGCATTCCACTATGGTAATGCTAGCATTGGAGTTGTAACCATTGTTTTTTTTTAAAAAAAAACTTTATAAAGGCTCTGTTAGCTAAAGGATTCCATATAAATTCATCCTTCTTGAGCAAATCTTTTAGAGGTTTAACTATTCTACCATAACCCTTCACAAAGCGTTTGTAATAACCTACAAGATCCAAGAACCCTCTCAATATTTTTAGATTCTATGGAATAGAACACTATTGCACCACTTCAGCTTTTTAGGACCAGTCTAGACTTCTTCTTCGATATAAAGTGTTTCAAATACTCTACATTTGAAGTGCCAAAGGTATATCTAGAATATTTAGTAAACAAGAAATTCTCTCTCAACACACTCAATGTTGATTTCAAATGATGAACATGCTCTTGTAAAATTTTACTAAAGATTAAAATATCCATAAAAAAAAATCCTAAAATCAATTTTTGAAGAAAAAGTCTCAAAATATCATTCACCAATGATTGAAAGGTAGTAGAATCAATTGTTAAACTAAATGGCATAACCAAATACTTATAATGGCCATTATGTGTTTGAAAAGGCATTTTAAGAACGACCGAAATATACATTCCGATTTGATGATAACCTAAACGTAAGTCTAATTTGGAAAAAAAAAGTTGATCCTTGTAATTCATCTAGAAGCTCCTTAATGATAGAAATGGAAAATTGATCCTTAATAGTCATCTAATTGAGCTTCCTATAACCCTCACACATCCTTTAAGAATTATCTTTCTTTTTAACCAACAGTATTGAAGAAAAAAATAGAATGTTTGAAATATACATTCCGATTTGATGATAACCTATACTTAACTCTAATTTAGAAAAAAATAGTTGATTCTTGCAATTCATCTAGAAGCTCCTCAACCATAGGAATAAGAAATTGATCCTTGATAATCATTTGATTTAGCTTTTTATAATCCACACACATCTTTCAAGAAGTTTTCAATCATTTGATCCTTGTAATCCTTCTTTTTAAGCAACACCACCGAAAAAGAAAATGGACTTACACTAGGATGTATAGTATCGTTGTTTAACATTTTTTCCACCTATTTCTCAATTTTATCTTTTTGGACAGAATGATACTATATGGTTTCAATCTTATAGGTTTTGATCCTTCCTTCAATTTAATCCTATGATCGTGTACTCTTTGAGGTGGTAACCCTTTAGGCTCTTCAAAAACATCTTTGAAAGATTCCAACACTATCACTAGTTCTATTGGAATTGATTAAACCAACTCTACTCTCAAATTTCCATTTTCATTTCCTCAAAATCAACTAGTTGATTTAATTACAACCAATTTAGGTGTTGTTGTTTACAAATAACCATATCCACTTCCTTATTTGTTTCACTCTTACTTAGTTCAATGCACTTCCTTTGTAATGAAAATAATTTGTCTTTTTTTTGTAAACTTAATCCACATCTCCTTGAAATTTCAAGTTATGTCTCCCATCGCATACAACCGTGCTACTCTCAAAATCATGTCATTCATTCCTAAATACATCACAAAAACAGTAGTTTCAAATACCCTCTCTCGCATCTTCCATTTGAAATTATTGCATTTATATTGACATACAATATCTCCACCATTTGCCACCGTAATGATTATTGGCTCCATTTTGACCATTACACATTGATTCTTCTTAGCAAACCCCAAATCTATAAAACTATGAGTGTTTCCTATATCTATGAGCATACTTATTCTTTTACCCTTGAATTGTTCTAACATCTTCATAGTTTGATAATATACCCCACCCAATATTGCATGAATTAAAATCGATACAGCTCCAACTAGCTTGCCCTTATTTTCATACTCCCCATAAACATTTTCTTTCTTAATCACCTCATTCTCAAAATCACCAACTCCACTATCCTCCACTTCTAGCTTAAACACTTGCCTTTCCTTGCATTTATGTGTAGACACATACTTATAATCACAAAAGTAACATAATCCTTTTACCCTTCTTCCATCTAATTCATTATTGCCAAAAAGCTTCTTTATTATGAAAATAAAATTACCATTTTAGAATTGAAGTGGTAAATGTGATATACCTTTTTGGTTATGGTGATTAGTACCGTTGTAATTTATTTAGGGATTCCGGTTTATAGTGTTTAGAGGTCCGTAATTGTTGGAGGTAGGTTTCTAGTTGAAGATTGGAGAATTTAATAATGGTTTTTTGTTGTAAGTTAGTGAGAATTTAGTCCGAATCTCTAAAGGTGACGTTGAAGGTTGGCGTTAGTTTTTTTAAGCTTGGCTAAAGCCACTCGCTTCTTTAAAAGTTTTAGGTCTCATAACTTTCACTTATAATTCAAATTGCAAGCCTCCTATAAAGCAATTAATAATGTCCTCTCCGAGACAAGGTTAACTTGTTAACAATATAGATAAACTTCCTAAGAAATGATTGAACATCATGAGTTTGCTTCAATCCCATTAGTTCCGCCATAGAATCATTGAGCATCATGATTCCAAAAGTGTACTCATTGTTTTTACATATTCTTCTCATTTAATCACAACCTTAACTCCATTCATTCTCAAAAAAGACATGATGCCATTCCAAAGCTTTTTTTTTTCCTAGATGGATAGCGACTAAATTCACCTTAGCTTCTTTTGGTGTTCTATCCACCATAAAAAAAATTCTCACATTTAAATACCCATCCTTCAAAGTCATCATAAAAAAATCTAGGAAACTCCACTATAGACATGTGCATATTGTAATTGTATTCCTCACTAACTCATTTAAAATTATTGTTCATCATTCCAACATTCATAGGATTATTAGGATATCCATACTTAAGGAATTTGGTAACCTCTATCATTTAATCCACCTAAACCTTCATCCAAATTACCATTCACTCCATTTGGTACTCTTTCATGTAGTAGATTCATAATTCCACTAACCAATTCCCTCAATTCACCAATCTCTTGATTATGTTGTAGATAACATAGAATCACATATTTGAGTAATTTCGGTAATTATCTTTGTGAGATTGTTAATTGACTCCATCTTTTTTAGGTCAAAACTTGCTTTTGCCATGATTTATTTGCTTAATTTGCTTTCCACAAGTGCGAGAATCGGCTTTGATACAAATTAATGAAACTCCAATTTAAATCAATAGAAAAGCTCTAGGAATTGAAAGAACAACTTTTAGAAAATTAAGATTGTTAGTTGAAATCAATTGTAAAAAAAGCAATGATTTGTGTGAAAATACAATGAATGAAAACAATGAAAACAATATGCATACAATTGATGAAGGAGAAGAAGAAATACAGTGGAAGGAAGAAGCTGAAGAACTCGAGAGAGAATGGGAAGAGATAAGAGAGAAAGAATTTCTAATCACTACAGAACTAAACTTTTCCCACTCTCTTTACTCTTTTTGATTATGTAACAAACTCAAGTAACACCCAACTACTTACTAACCGATTGCTAATAAATTCACACTCTAATTCCTTTGCTGGCTCACTTAATCAGTTTACTATCATATTGCCAGCTAGTATAATTGTCCAACTCATCACTAAATGATGGGTTGCATCACTTTTTTTGTTCAATATTCATTTTCAATCACGTAATTGGATAGCCTGCAAGAGGCCTCCCACTTTTTGTTTTTATGGAAAACAACTGCTTCTAGCATAAAAATAGCCGGCAAGTAGTTAAAAAATTGCCGTTGTAACCCATGTCATAAATTTTGAGTTCGATTTTGAATCCCAAGAAGATACAAAAAATCCTTAAAAAATTGTTGGACTTTGACTGACGAGATTCATTGAACCCATTCGCTGTCTGTGTATTAGCTTTCAGAAATTTGTAGTAATTACTTAGAAAGGTAGCTTTCACCTTAATGAGGTTCAAATTCTATAAGTGAGCCATCCTTGTCTTTTATTACCTTTGTCATGTATAAAACTAATCATTGGCCTATCAACTTCTACAGGAAACTTTTTATATGCGGTTGTTAATGGTACACAAACACATAGCAGATCATAGTACTAAACATCTGTTGGGTACGTTGTAAGTACTGATTTCTGTTATTGCATCACTTTCTTTTTTTTACGTGACAGGAGGATTAAATGGTTTGTCGATCGAAATTAATTTTATTTTGTTTTTAAGTTTTCTTAAAAATGTTGGGTTTAAGTTTCAAAATTATTGTTACTGCATCATGAAATCAAAAGATCCTATATGATCACAGTTAATAATGCTTTAATTGTTTCTTTTCTGCATTGCAGCGTGCCTGCAGGTTATCAACAAGTTTGAGCAGGGTGTTGCTGTTGATTTTGAAGTTCACTTCTGCTCTCGACTGCCTATGCAGCTATGCCAAGCACAAGTCATAAAATACTTTACTTAACATGGAAAGGTCTTGAGTTCAAGTTCCATCTTTGGATAGGTTACGTAGATAATTCTTATGAGTTATCAGATATGGAGTCTTTTCCTGAAAAATCAGATGAACTCTCGTCGACTAAAGAGCTGGTGTGATTTGGCGTAATCAGTCCCAAACCGTAAATGATTAATGGTAGAGGTTCAAAAGCACCCTATTATATACTCTACTGTGTATATATATATATATATATATACGCATAAAACCTGCTTAGTAAATGCTTCTGCAGATAGGCTTAGCAGATTTCCTAAAGATTACGTACAGGAGATTGGCTGCATATATCGCAGATTTCTTAGCAGCTTATTTTACGCACATAAGGAAGACACCTACCTGACTAATGTGTTGATACCTTCAACTAATTGGTCAGCAATCGGTATCCAGTGCTGCTTCGCTAGATGGGGATTGAGATCATAATTCTGCTCAAAATTATCGAGATAGGATGCAGATTATGCTTAGACATCAGATTCGGTGCTCACATGAAGAATAAGAAGTACCATGATTGTACTAGGATTTTCTTGACTATTACAATCATGCCTTGTAATTAAACCAAAGAGAGAGGAGAAAACATGGAATACAAAGGACACTTGAGGTGATGTTCTGCAACCACAGAACAATTCCTCCACCAGAATTTCAAAACTCTAAGCACTAAGCAGTGACATCAAGAAATGGATAATCAGTATAACCAATCACAGGATCAGGTGTATAGAAAGTTTCTCTATTGTATTTGTTGAGAGGAGCATTAAGCTCAAATCTCCTTGGCAAGTCTGGATTAGCTAGGAACCAACGACCATAAGCTACAAGATCTCCACGGTTCTCTGCCACGGCTTTGTTTCCATCTTCTCTGTCGAAGCCCCCAGCAACAATGAAAGTACCATTGAAAGCCTTTCTCATAGGCAAAAGACTGTGTGGGCATTCATGTTTTTCTGTAGGCATTCTCATTCTAGGCTCAACCATGTGGCAGTAGAGAATGCCATATTTATTCAGGGACTCAACCATGTAAACTCCTAAAGCTTTAGGATTCGAGTCTCCTGCTTCCATAAAGGTTGCATACGGAGATAGCCTTATTCCAACTTTATCTGCTCCTATCTCGTTGGTTATAGATTCAACTATTTCCAAAGCAAACCGACAGCGATTCTCGAGAGATCCACCATATTGGTCTGTTCGGTCATTTACTTGATCTTTCATGAACTGTTCAATTAGGTAGCCATGTGCTCCATGGATTTCTACTCCATCAAAACCTGCTTCCATGGCATTCCTTGCAGCAAGTCTAAAGTCATCGACAATTTGATGAATTTCATCTGTACGTAGTTTCCTTGGAGGTGTAAAATCTGCAACATCAATGCCATTACTTCGAATTTGAGGGGTCAATGACTTCTCTGTGGATGAGATTGGAGCTTGTCCATTTGGCTGGAAATCTGTAAAGAACAATGATGGCAAAATAAAGATCCAGACAAAACAAAACCTCAATTAAATTTAGCAATTCAATCACATGAATGGAACAACAGTAATTGACCATGACTACAAGGCAATGATCCTTGATAGATACTTGAAGCAGAATCGTCCTTCATGAAAAAACAGAAGACACCTTTATCTAAAGAAGATCAAGGAAAACTCATTCTCATATGCAAAAACCAAATGCAGCACTTTTTCCAAGCCTAAAGAAATTGCAGCTATTGAATTTCTAGCATAAAAAAGTGGCAAATCCAATTAGACTACTTGTTTTAGCAGGCACTGCAAATATTGAGCCATCATATTGTGGTTGAAACCAATCTGAGTATTTAGAAATTTGAGAAAGTTGGAAGCTTTCAGGGAACTCAAGAACTCACCTTCATTTGAAACCCTTCCAACATGCCAAATTTGACAAAAGAAGATACCACCTTTGGCATGAACAGCAAAATGCTGTAACTTATATAAAACCCCTTCAATTAGGAACATAAAAATAGTAGAATAGCCAAAGTTTATACCCTTGGGCTGTGTCAGAAACTCCGGTGGCTTCAGTTATGAGGAAACCACCTTTGGTGGCTCTCTGAGAGTAATACAAGATGGCATGTGGCTGAGGAACATTGTTGTAAGATCTCTGTCTAGTCAATGGTGCTAGGACAACTCTGAAAATAAACGACGAACGGCAAAGAGCATTAAGCTTCACACTCTTTAGGCCAAAAAAAAAGCAGTATCTATATAGAAATTTGCCCACATAAATGAATCATATGAATTCACTATGAAAACTTGATCAATGCCACTAAGAACAGATCCCCTTACATTCACTGATAACTAGTAAGATTACTTCATGTTCTTATTAGACACAATGCAATTATAAACTTCCAAGATCTCAGGTTCCTGGCAAACTCATTACACTTAATTAAGATGGCACAAAGATTAGGTTATATAATATAATTTCTTACCAAGATTGTACTAAAAAAAAGATGAAATTAGTAACAATTAAATGAGGAATGAGTGGGACACCAAAAAGTTGCATATTTCTCGAATCTGATGATAGATATGTAACACTTTATTTCACAGAAAAACTAACCAAATGATTTCAAGAAGGTTGGTAATCCATTGACGCTCAAAGCATATTAAAAGTAAAGAAGAACATGCATTGCAGAATTGGTAGATAGTAAAAGAAGGGTGTATCATGGATATCATAACAGACAAAAATTCAAGAACAGAGAGAGAGTGGAGTCTTAAGCTATATAAGTACACACCTATGAGAAAGATTGAACTTTCCCATCTTGTAAGGGGTGAGAAGAGGAGCAGCAGTCATTGCATGATTGTTGGACTTATCTTCTCCTTCTTGATGCAATTTGGCTTCCATATCAAAGATCAGCTGAAACTTAGACTACTGATAAATAAGTGATAACCAGAAAAGTGAAGGACTGAATGAATTATCGATGATGGAGAACTCTTGGTCGACAGGATATTTATAGGGTTTTACTCGAATTTAATCCCTATAATTTTCTAATTGTTTTATGAGAGTCTCATAGTATTTTTTGTTTTGACTAAATTTCTCTATTATTATTTTATTTTATTTTATAATAGCCCTTCTCTCATAATGTTGTGACTTCTAGTACCTTTTGTTAGAGTTATTCTTCTATTTATAAAACTAAATCGTTAAAAAATAAAAAATAACACATGAAATTTAATGTACATTGATTAATTAGATTTGTTTAATTTTTTTCTTAGTTAGTGTATTTTATTTTAGTTATTTAATTTTCATTTAAATGAGAAAATTTTTTAAAAGGAAAGAGTTATTAGATTGTGCCTCGTCGAACATTTAACTTAGCATTCTGATCGAAAGTCTATTTAGACGTATGAATTAACGCTGTGTAAATTAAAAAAAAAAAAAAACCTATTTAAATAATAAAAAAAGAAATAATAGAAAGATTTAACCAATAAAAAGAAATAAGAGGTTACAATAAAAAACCTAAAAGAATATAGGGACCAAATGCGCGTAAAACCGGATATTTATACTCCCAAAGTTTGAGAGAGGAAGGTGGCGGGTATTTACGGTAAGCAATAAAGAATTAAACAGAATCAAAGTGGGTCCCTGAGCTCCAAAGCGCCGGGATGAAGGGGGAACTCTGCCTCACCTCCTTTTTTGACCAAATAGCAGCACTTTCTGTGATTATGACGTTAAAATTCAATAGATTATTAGATTGGATTTTTAGTTATTTTGCTTGTACAAAATCTTTGGTTATTAACCCTTAGCTCCTCTTGAATGAAAGGTTTATAAAGTTTTTATCATTCTTTTTAGTAAACTCTACTAATATTAAAAAAATCTTTTAGACAAAAGAATTTATAAAATTGTCATCTATTCATCCATCTTCTAAATAAGAAAGATACCGATATAGTAAAATTCTTATAATATTATTCTAATATTATTATTAAGTCCAAAAAATATATATTATTCTAATATTATCATTAATTCCAAAAAAATATATGTCAATTTAAAAATTATGTAAAACCTTAAATAACACAATATAAGTCTGGTAAATCATCCCAAATTAATGCAATACCTTATTGATACTTTATTTTTACTATTAAAACTTTGCAAATATTTTAAAACAAGCAAACAAAAGATAGAATAATATTAAAATTCAGTAAGTTATTATATTGAATTCTAATTTATTTTTATTATTTTATACGAGGTATTTTTTATTTTTTTTAATTGTTTTTGCAACCCTTAGCTCCTCTAAATGAAATTAAGGTTTATAAATTTTTGATCATTCCTTTTGGTAAAATCTATTAATATTAAAAAAGATCCTTCAAACAAAAGGATTCAGGAAATTTTTACCTATTCATGCAAGAGGGGAGGATAGCAGGGGCATGTGTGGGCCATGGTCTCCCAAACTTTTTGGGAAAAAAAAAAACTTATATAAGCAATCAATTTTGACCTTTTTACTTCCTTCTTCCGATTCTTCCGCGTCCCCAATCAATTTTTTTTTTAACTTATTCTTCGTACAATTGATCGAATACTAATATTGATTTTTTTTTTTTTTAGGTTTATTCTCTTTGAATACTAAATTCTAGCATCATCAATGGACAACTATTACAAATATATAAAATTTATTAAAAAAGCTATTTCTATTTATTTATTTATTAAATTTCGAATTTATATAGAGTTTTTTATTTTTAGTAATTTATTTGTTTTTCTGTTATGCTATGTTTTATTGGCTATGATAAGTGAGTAAACACGATTAATTATATTTTAATGCATATAATTATTATAGTTTTATGTGTATATATTAGGATTTTAATTCACACTAAAATTATACTACTAATGACTTGTATTGTAATTTATTGTCTTCTAATAAGAGGCTAATTATAATGAATTATTTTCATGCATAGAATTAAAATAGATATACTCTAATATTTAAATTGATTACTGAAATTAGAGACATTTTATTTAGTTGATAGATTGCTTTATGTTGTGTTGAATCTTCCTGTTTCTACAGCTATTAAGAACAAGCATTTTCTACAATGAAATTGAATAAAATAAGATGGAAGATCAATTTTTTATATACAATTTAGTCGTGTATATTGAAAAAGAGATGGCTGAACTTTTTTACTCTAATTTCATTGTTAATTAATTTGATGTTTTAGGTGAGCACCGAGCGCTACTTTGATGAAGGAGGAATGATATTAGTTGCATAATTTATTAATTTGCTTTTAATGTTTATTTTTTATTCCTATGCCTTGAATTATATAAATATTACTCTAATTTCATTGTTAATGAATTTAATATTTTAGGTGAGTACCGAGCGTTACTTTAATAAAGGAGGTGTGATATTAGTTTCATAATTTATTAATTTTCTTTTAGTGTTTATTTTTTATTCTCATGTCTTGAATTATATATGTACACACACACACACACACTTAAGCCCTACAAAATCTAAGTCAAGTTTCGCGATTGCACTCGTATTTGTATTCGCATTCGTCAATGAAAAATGATATATCCGGACATAGTCATTTTCAGCGGCGATCATCCATCAAACATGAACATTCGGTTAAGTAATTTAGGTACATATAATCATTGCCGAAAATTGACAAGTCATGACATAGCTGATTTTCGACAATATTGACAACATGCCATGACGCAACAATTCTTGGTAGGCACACGCATAACAACATTTAAGCATCAATATCAAATTAATTAATTATGCATTAAACTAAATACACACAAACATGCATATGCTATACGGTAATGGTCTCGGTTTGTTAGCATGTTGCCTCTTGGCTAGTTGGCCACTAGGCTCTTTGATAGTTGGCCCTTTCCTCCCGGCGAGTTAGCCAATTGCTCCCTCCTCACTTATTTACTTTATTTGCTTAAGCCCTAAGTTTTTTGTGCATCACACTAGTGTCTCTCAATGCTTCACAAGCATAACACATTATAAGATAAGCTTGCAAGACTTAAATATTCGCTAACATAACATGACATGTCATGACACGTAAATTTTGCGGGAACGCAAACACACAATAAACATAAGCATAGAATGTCAAATAAATCACACACACAAACACTTATTAATGCGATATAAATAAATTTTATTGAGAAGAGAACCCCTTTAAATAAAGGAGTTAATAAATATAAATACTCACTAAGCGTTTAATCGGGATCAAATATTTTTAAAATTTATTTTATCATCTATTATCATATTTGCATTTTAATATCTAATTATATCTATTTTAATCATATTATCAAAATATTATTTCAATTTATAACTAATCCTATAAATAAAATAGCGCAAATTTTATTTTGGTGTGGTTAAAATTATTTTTTTGTGTTTTGAAAGCTAAAATAAATAATTTTATTATAAATTATCAAATTTTGTACAATAGAAGGACTAATCCCCTTCTATTAATGTATAGCCCAAAAACCCCCAACCTCCCAATAACTAAATAAATAAATAAACTGCTTAAGCTGAAATATATTTAATACTTATGCACATACTCAAATTTGAAATCACCAGATGCGGCATTATTTTTATATCTTTGTTTTCAATGATCCGAACCTAGCAATATAGATCTAATTTCTTTTAGTTTCATTCTACAAATTATCCGGTTTTTTAATCGTGAAAATTTTCTTTTTTTACATGTTTGTGTCCCTTTATGTGGGTTTATAGCGCTGCAAGAGAGATTTTTTAAGAATGTTATTGATGGATTGTCTAGATCTAGTAGTCGGAAAAAAAAAAAAACAACCGAATTGCTAATTAGGACAAGCAATTGTATATTCTAAATCGAACTCACTTCATCATCCACCTCAACCCCGCTTTATAAGTAAAAATACTATACCTATATCGGATGAAATTGCTAATTAGGACAAGCAATTGAAAACCTCAAAGTCACAAAATAAGAAGAAGACAATTAGCATATTACATTGAAAATTTAAAGGTAATTAGGAAAAAAAAAAAGAGCAAGTAATCTAATTGATTGGTCACAAAATTAATTTAGCATACGTACCATTAGAGAAGGACGAAACACAGGAGAATAACAAACAAACAGAGGAGAAGAACCACAAAGAAGAGGAGAAGAACAAACAAGCAAAGGAGAAGAAAAACCCAAAGAGGAGAGGGATAATGTAGCGTTCTTATCCCAAAAAAAGAAAGAAAGAAAGAAGAAACGAGAAAATAGAAGAAGTCGTAAGGGACCGGATAGTTAAGGACCGAGCTACGGGTGTGAGTGAGGCGGAAAAAGAAGGAGTTGCGAGGTTAGCGAAGGAATAGAAGAAGGGCAAAGAAAGAAGAGAGTGACATAGAAGAAAAAAGAGATAACACAATGCGTTTTGGGATCCTAACGAAGCGAGAGGAGAAGAAATTAAAAATAAAGCTGCAAAACCCTTGTGAATCGAAGAAGCGAGAGAGAACAAATCGAATAAGGAAAGGAAGAGAAGTCTGTAAAACCTAAGCGAGATAGGGAAAATGAAACGATGCCTTCCTTATTTCGGAACCAAATATATATATATATATATATATATATATTATAAGATAAAAGTTGCTTGTGCCTCTCCTTAAACCTTAGGGTGGTTCGTAAACCGCCTCAACCTTTCCGCCTCTATATCCTCTTTTTGTTCTAGTAGAAAGATTTCAATATATTAGAGTTATTGACGGATTGTCGGAGTAAAATAGATGTTGAAGCAATCTCTTTCTCTTGTAGTATAGTGTTTCAACGGGGAGACATTTTTCTCTCTAGATCCGGCATTGTATTTTGATTTATCTTTGTAAATTTCTTTTGTATGCTTCTCCGGGTTACAATAAAGCTATTATTATTCTTTATTTGTGGAGCTACTTTAGATTGGTTTCAATTGATGATATGATG